GTTGCAATATGCATTTTTGCTGCCTGTTGCAGCGCTCTAGCGCTGCACGGCAAAAACGCATAAAAAGTCGAATTCTCTCATGCGAGATTAAGTCCTCACACACTGGAGTGCTCCTTGTACGAGTTAACAAAAAAGCCACAATGAAGCTTATTGCCGCCTATGCGCCCACCTCAGCAGCGGACAATGAAGACGTTGAACGTTTATACGAAGGACTCGAGGCCGCGTTGTGGTATGCATACACAATCGTTCTTTGAGACTTCAACGTCAGACTCGGCCACGGAGAAGACCCAGAAGTGCACATCGAACACCTCGCTCTTGAAGTAAGGAACGGTAGAGGTCAGAGATTGCAAAATTTCGCAGAAAGTTCCAAGCTCTACGTAATGAACTCTTTTCAAAAACGTATGAGCAGACGTTAGACATGACGTGCACCCAACAATGCATGCAGAACTGAGATCGATTACATCCTCACTGACAAAGGTCGAGTGATTACAGTGTTTCTGTAATACCGAATCAGCAGTTTCGACCCACTCTGATCACGGCCTCGTAAAAGCCGACATCAGAATCAATTCCAGCAAGGAAAGAAGATTCAGAAGAGAAATATCTACAGTGGTAGACCGAAACAGTTCTCATCTTACAAGCTGTTGAACGTAAAACTGGAAAATCGAGAACAACATAGATGTAGACTACAGTATTCTTCTCGGCAATTTCCACGAATTTAAAACTGCTGCTCAGGTAAATGCATCGTCAAACGTGTCGAAGACGGTGTAAGTCATGAAACGCTTGACCTTCCAAAAAGAAGAGACATGACGCCGAAAGGAGATGTCGGTTTGGAGCACAAACTCCTTTGCAAACTGCTAAGGAGGCGAGTGACAGAAGACTACAACAGTTACGCAAGGGAGAAGATAAGACAGGCAGTAGGATAGAAAACAAGTTTGAAACGAGCGTGGAGAGAAGCGCAGCTGAGTAAAAATATCCCAGTGGCACTCTTGGACAAGGATGGACAGAGAACAACAAATGGGCGGCGCAAGGAAACCATTTGTAAAAATTTTTACGGAGATTTGTTTGTATTGTCTGTTTATGCCCAGAGTCCTAATATTTCAAAAACCTCCTTTGTGCTTGCAATTAATCCCAGCGTAGTCGAAGCCGCGATTCGCCCACGAAGAATAGGGCAGCGGGTCTGGATCGAATCCGCGTCGAAGAACTAAAAGCCGGAGATGAAGCAATAACAAAAGCACTCAGTACTCAGTACGTGATTTACATGGTATCTGAAAACAGGATGATATCGGCAGAATGGAAAAGATCCAAAACCATACTGTTTCCGAAGAAAGGAGACCTGGAAAACATTGCCGATTGCTGTCTAGTATGTTTGCCACTCCATATGTACAAGATCTTCGTGCGGGTGAATATATTTTTGAATCGAAAAAATTCTTGTTGAAAAATTGAGAAGAGAGCAAGCGAGATTTAGGAAAAAATCCTCTACAAGTGATCACACCCTTGCGCTAACACAGCTCATACAGAGGTGCCAGAAATACAAAATTCCATTACGCTTGCTTTTCACCGATTTCAGAAAGGCTTTCAACCCAGTTAAACACAGTGCTGTGCTTCATGCTCTCGTGAGCCAAGGAATCAATCCAAAATACCTTGCTGTTATTAAAGATTCCAAGACAGGATCGGATACGGAAGTCATCTCCCTTCGATGATCCTATATTAATAGAAATAAAGCGAGAAGTAAAACAAGGTGACATCTGCTCTCCGAAAGCCTTCACCAGCACTTTAGAAGAATTGCTCGGAAGTACTGATACAGCAGATGGAATCAGTATCAACAGTGAGAAACTGCAAATGCTACTCTTTGCGGACGACATAGCCCTTGTCGCAGAGAGCCCTCAATCGTTGCAGAATCTGCTATACGAGCTCATAGCGCATACAAAGATAATCAAGGTCACAGTTAACATCAGTAAAACCAAGTGGATAAAGAACGCCTACTGTCCTCGGTTCGACAAGAAGCTGGATGACGACTCTATCGAACTTTTGGACAGCTGTGTGTAATTAGGACAAGCAATGCAGAAGAACAACGACTTCGGCATCGAAATCACAAGAAGGATAATAGAAGGGTGGATAACTTTCCCCAAGTTCCGCGACATATTCTACGACAAGAAGATTACTTCACCTGCAAAAGCAGCAGTTTACAATTTGACCGTTCTACCAGCCATGTTATATGGATGCAAGACGTGGAATACCAAGCTTGCTGAAGAACGAAAGTTGGCAGCCTCTCAAAGAGCAATGGAGTAGCAGATAGTTGGCACCAACAGGCTGCAGCACATTCCATGTGAAGCGCTTCAAGCCAGATCTGGCCTGAGAGACATTACTAAAGCAATGTGCGCCAGCAAAAAGAGAAAACTGGTCGTGTGGAACGGATGACAGATAATAGATTGACAAAGCGGATAACGGAATAGTATCCGCGCACAGTCAAGCGAACACTGGGTAGGCCATCAGTGAGGTGAGAAGACCGAATGATACGCTTGCACGTACTGCGTGGACTTGTCGAATGCAACAACGAATCGATTGGAAAAGTTAATGCATTGATGGCGTGACAATGAACGTCGATGACATACAGCTCCTCCAAGTATTCAAGTATTGCAGCTCTGCGTGTCACCCTTCCATTTTAAAACCTATGCTTTGGTACGTCTGGGTCTCAGGCATAGATGCCTGAAAGAAAACGTATAAATTTTTTTGGCTGAAGACGATTTCTGGAACTAAATAAGCAAGACTGGGAGCTGAAACTTTGCACAGACATTTTTTGTCCATGTGGAAGTTAAAGTTTCCAAATATAGCAGTCGCTCATGCTTGTATAACACGTAAGATTACGTCAAAGTTCGTAGTTGTCACTTTGCTAACTCGAAAACTAGCCGGGAAACGACAGCTGTAATTTTACTAGAACATTTGTCATCCATCTGGCCTCACGTATACCAAAACAGAGCTTCGAATTACCACTTGTATATCTAAAGAGAATTCCGAATTACACTTTCTCTACGCCTTCGGCGCGTTGAAGATACGTGGCAGTTTCGAATATCGGACAATCCATAGGATAGAATTTTTACGGGGAAATTTTATATAAATGTATGGTCTAAATTCAGATTGAAGGCTTAATTCCCTGCAGAAAAACACAACAAATGTTGACCCAACTTCAAAAATGAGTGCGTTTGCTCGAATTTCGTCAACATTTCCTCTCGATATTTTATTCACTGTCCAGGTTGCATTTTCGATGTGTTACTAACAGCAGCAAATTTTTCATTTTCTTCATGCAAAATTTATGATGGTCACACATGCTGGAGGTTAAAATTTCACGCGGCCTATGATGTAACACTACTGTCCCAACCGAGCCCTTTCCCTCCATGCTAAAACATTGTCAAACTGAGTACGTATGGTAAACTGCAAAGCAACAGCCATTCACACAGTTTGACTGCTCAAAGTTTAGTGCAAAAGCGCTTAATCGCGCCATAAAGTTAGTGCGTACTAATCTATAGGTTTACTATGGATAGACTGCACTAATTATTTCCAGTTTAATTTTAAATGCTCTATCTCTATTACGTTTGCTTTTTTTTAGACACTGTTCTTTAACCATTTGCGAAGGCTTTAATACCACAGTTGGAAAAGGACGTCTACTAAAAATAAGTAAATAAATAAATATTTACATATATATATTTATATTTATTAAACCCTTCCGATAAGGGATAAGAAATGATAGAGATTAGAGACCTGCGAATTTGCCCAGTGCTTAAAATCAGCATGAATTTGCTTATTCGGAAATGTGACATATCTGAAGCACTGAACTTGATGAGCGCTAGACAGTGCGTTCCCATGCGAAGTCGGTTGATTCTTACATGCAACCGAAAACTGTTCACAGATGTGCTTGCCATTCGAGGATCGGCTTTTTTTAGAAATTCTGATCGCTGCTACAGAAAAGCACAGGAGAGGATCGATTTTGCAGGGTGAGCGATTTTGCAAAAGAGTCTTCCATCATGACATGCCAAAGCATTTTGCACTCATTCTTTTTGCAAGTCGCTGAGAGTAAGAATTTAGATATCACAGCAAATGATAATGGCATAGATGGCATTATGCTCACAACGGAATCAAGCTGTTTAAAAAACGGCTAGAAGTACCTTTCATCCCTTCTCACTGAAAGTTCCCAGATGTGCGCTTTACTCTTTTTTTTTTTTTTCAGAAATAGTTAAAAAACATTGTATAATCGCTGAGATGAGTCCTTCAATTAAAATAGCACCGAAAATCGAAATTTTCGCCGTACTCACTGTGAGAAGCGGAGACACTGGACAGGTAACTAGCTGTTAACAGCGGCCGCTCATTGGCAAGTATGTTGATGTTTTCAGCTTTCGAGGTGCGCTTGGAGTCAAACTGATGGCAGGTGAGGCGAACATATTAGTCAAACTAGCATTAAAAATTAAAAAAAAATTAGTGTGCAGGAAGGCGATCTGCACTTATAATAGAAGTCTTTTAGTATAGGGATTTGAAAAATTAAATCAATTTTTACTTGCACAAGTTTTGTGGAACTATGGACTTCCTGCAACATAAAATCGATCAGCTCGATCAAACTTTTTGCGTGCTGTTTCACATCGCAGCATTTGTAAGACGAAAATCCGTCAATGATTGAAGTCTTTTGAAACAATTCTTTTGCCAATGCATTGTTCGCGATTACTGCTCTAAAAACAAAGATCTGGCGATCTCTTTTGTGATTAGGGGACGCTACACATAGAGGCTTGATGAGCAGTTCGGAGAAAAAAGTTACAGCCAAGGAAGTATAATTTTCAATTAAAGAAAATGAGAACAAAGACAGAAAAGAAGGAAGGAAAGAGATGCAGAACGACAAATTATCTAGGCATAATAAACTGAAAACTGAGTCAGTTGAATTCGTCCCCTAAGTAAGATTGGAAAATAATGGTTCCTTTTTTTTTCACAAGGCAGCTCTTTAGTTGCTAAATATCAATTTGGACAGACCTCGTTTCAAAAACGAAAATACGTGACTGCAGAAAGGAAGTGTTGAGCGAACAGGAGCGGAACTAGCACCGGCAATTTCTTTTTCCGGACTGAGCTGCATATTGTTTTATAGATCAAACATGTAGGGCTTACAGAAGTTCGGAGTGAAAAAGAATCACTGAGCTGCGGTACCGACTCTCAATTACTTGCGCAAAGCGTATCACGCCCTCACCTTGATTTTTCAGTTACCTCTTTCTTCCGTGTCGCAAGGAACATGCAGTGGTAAAAAAAACTAATACTATTTCTACAAGAATTTTTGCTTTTTCTGTGCGTAATCGACGTGAATTTGATATTGCAGTCCTTCGGCAGTATTCGTTTCTTCCATTCTGCGTAAGTGCACTATGTATTCGTGAGGTAGATGCAATTAAATGAAATGTTAGGTATTTTAATATGTTTTACTGATCCCTGTCCTTTGCCATTTTGACTATGGGATAAGATTATACTGACAACTACTTAAAAAGTTACTTTTCTATGACAGATAAACACACGCTCACCGGAAAACGTTGATGAAAAAATTGGATGTACATCGAAGCCTTTGCCAACTCTGTTGTAGCAATTGAATTTGGTAGCTGAAATTAAAAATGTTCAAAAAAAACCGAATTTTGCTTTTGTTATGCATTTTTGCGTACATGCGAATGCAAAAACGCATGTTGTGACGACCAGTGGTGTGCGTGTGTGTATATATATGTGTGTGTGTTCATGTGTCCATTCAAGTATTTCAACTTGACAACCACGCTTGCTCCGACGCCAAAATTTTACCAGCGGGTTCTCCGGCTAAGTACCACCCCAGGTCCGTGATATCAACCCTCGCGCACCTCTTGACCCGCGTACGATCATGTGAAAGTTTTCAGCGGGAAAATCGCTAACTCGGGGACTAAAAAAGCCGGAAAGCTGGAATTTTAAAGGATATTCCCAGCCCTGCTAAAAGTTGAAGATATCAAATTCAGCCCACCGGTATGGACCCATGAAATTTTTCGGTGGGAGAGTCGCTAATCAGGGGAACAGAAAAACTGAAAACCTGAAATTTTCGGATGTCTCGAATCCCTGTACAACTTAAAAATATCAAATCCAGTCCCCAGGCATGCGTGGTTCTCACATACGAACCTTTGAAATTTTTTGGCGAGGAAATACCAACTCGGGAACCAGAAAATTTGGAAAGCTGAAGTTTTAACGGAATGTTCGTTGTCCAAGTGCCACGAGCTGCACAATTAACTTCCTGAACTTTGAAGACCAGTATGCCACAATTTCTCGCTGTTAGGTTCCCGAGTGATCTCACTACAGCAAGAAATGTTGCAAAAACGCATGATCGTACGAACCCGCCTGGTGCGCGTCGTCAGTGATTTTTAAATGCCCCTGAACCAATCAAAGCAAGAACAATTTTTATATTGTTTCCAATATGCGTGGTGTATTTCTCATTTCGATGTATGAACAGGGCAGTTCACTGGTTTGCTGAAGAGATGAGCAACTTGGCCTTGCTTTTATTGCTAGCTACCTGACACTTCGAAATATGAGTATTTTGTTTTTGTTTCAAACGTGTCTCTTGTCGTTTACTAGCATTTTAACTTTGCGCCTGAACTACTGAAATG